CTTTTTTTTTTTTTTTTTTTTTTTTAATTTTTATTATTACGAAGTTTCGTTCTTGTTGAGCAAAAAAGCCAACGAACTTTTGTATTGATGAACAAAATATTCACAACAGGGCAGTTGTGATGCGAACAGAACAAAGAACCAAACACTTAAACTTTTAGGTCTCCTATGAGTTTGGGACTTTAGGAAAAAAAAAATCAACCCAGCACCAGCAGCTACCAACCACCATTCCATATCTTCACTTGAAAGCATTAGTTACAGTCCAGATGTGGGAACTCTTATCTTGAGAGAAGTTCCTAATTGTCGTTTGTCTCAGACCAGTGTAAACAAACCAGCCAGCCACCACCTTGCTAAACTTATAAGCTTCTGGAATCCAGTATTCTACCAAGAATATGCCTTGATTGTAGTCTTCAGTGTGACAGGTTTTTGTTTGACACAACGTTCTATACGTCTGGAAAAAAAAAAAAACCCTTGCATTCCAAAGTTTCATACCGGTTACTGGTTTTGTTGCCACCACTTAGTGGATGTTTAATTTTAGAACCATTTTGTCTGCTCTTTCTGGAAGCCTTGGGCAGAGCTTAGTTTGTAATCGTTGGGGGAATAACTGCTGAATTTTTAGCTGTTTTGAGTTGATTCGCACCACTGCACCACAACTCAATATGAAAAAACTATTTAACTTATTTATTATCTTGTGAAAAGTATACATTGAAAATTTTGTTCATACTGTATTTATCAAGTATGATGAAAAGCAATAGATATATATTCTTTTATTATGTTAAATTATGATTGCCATTATTAATCGGCAAAATGTGGAGTGTATGTTCTTTTCACAGTAATATATGCCTTTTGTAACTTCACTTGGTTATTTTATTGTAAATGAGTAAAAAAAATCTTAATTTAAGAGATTGTATGTAATATTTATTTCATTAATTTCTTTCCTTGTTTACGTAAATTTTGAAAGATTGCATGATTTCTTCACAGAAATCTATCCTGATGCTGTGGAAGTAGTTTGAGGAATATCTTATGAGTTTTCTTAGAATGTATAATGGTTGTAGCCCATCCAACTTTAAAGAAAAAAAAAAGTTGACCACATACTTTGCAATCAGGTTTAAATGTGGCATGCTTTTCTCATTCCAACTTTTGACATGAGCAAAAAAAACAAAAAACAAAAAAAAAACCCATGTTTGTTTGTTCGTTCCACCAATTCTACTGTGACATACTCTGCGTATAAAGACATGTAGCAATAATGGGGTGGGGGTAGTCTCACAGTGCCTTTGGAAGGGCCAGAACTTGCCTTAAATCTTCCTCAACCAAATAAGTATTTTTCTATTAGTGCTTGAGAGAATTTGAATGTAGGATGGGTTCAACTGCACAAAAGGAAAAGATATTTACCACTTTTTTTTATATAGATATAAAGTGAAGAGGCCACCTCTTAGTGCTAAAATGGTATGTAGTACATGAATATGCCTTGTTTCATTACAGAAGATTCCAAAACTTGTACTATTTTTTTTTGTGTGTGTGCGTAGAAAGGCAGGAATGCTTTCCTGGACAGCGGATGAATGAGCAGTAGCTTTAGTTTGTTTGTACGTAGGTACAGTTGGAGCACTATGTATGTATGGACTCTGGACTACTTTGACAGAAGTAGGTTTTTGAATGTAACAAGATAAGTCAACTTGAGTTGTAATATATTTTGGGGAAATCAGTTCACTACAGATTGTGGCTGTAAACATTGTACTGTAAATGTTTTGTAGTTTTCCCCCAATAAAATTTTTGGGAAAAAAGGTACTCATGTGTAAGCCAGCTTTTTTTTTTGTTTTTTTTTAAACCAGAACATGGAGCCTCTTACCTTAATTACCACCACTTTTCCGGGCATTGCCCAGGCCTTGCAGGGGTTGGGAGCTAAGGTTTCCACGGGAGCTGGCAAGGTGAGAATTCAGAAAAGCCTGCCCCTATGTATGTTATAGCAAGCTCTTTTAGCTGAAAGAAAGTAATTATTTGGACTGTCAAGGGCATTAGTTAGCTGTTCCCCTTGGTAATAAGATGCATCCCAGTGTTGGCTGACTGGCTGGTGGCAGACCCTGGCTGAAGGCCTGAGGGGGTGTGGCCCGCCTGTGAGTCACCAAGCGGATCACGTGTCTGCAGTGGCAGCTGAAGGTCCGATTTTTTTTGCTGGGACACCCAGGGACCAGAACAGCTAGGGTGGGGAAGGGAGGAGGGTATCGAGGGCCACTAGAACGCTGAGCTGGAGAAGAGGAGGGGGTTGGGTTACAAACTTTCTTGGGCTGGAGAACCAGGGTTTTGCCTCTACTTTGGGAAGGCTGGCTGTGTCCTTGTCCGGAGAGGAAGGAAAGGGGAGGAAGATTAAACAGGTCAAACTTATATCTGGGTAATGTTTGTTTATGCAGACAGCTTCCTCTGGGAGTGAGCACACACGTTATTTATGCAAAAGGATTTGTGTCTGCTTTAGGCGACTCTAAGTGGCCAGAAAGCAAATTCAACCCAGGCCTCTAGAAAAAGAAAAAAGAAAGGGCACCAATTTGTCTGCTGATTCGCACACAATTGAACAAAACCTTGGTAACTTTTTTCCCCCTACAATCCCTTTCGAAACTTCAAAATCAGGTTCATAAATCAACTCACATTTTTCCCTTCTCCCTCCTCCTACCCCCCAGTTCAGACACTTCTTCCAAAGTAGGTAAAAGATTTAGCGATAGTTTGTTTTCTTATCTGCAACAGCTGGGCCCTATCAACCACTGCTTGCACCCCTGTGCGGGGGCTCCCGTGTCTCCCAGCTGCGCGGGCGGGTGGGGGAGGGGCGGTCTGGAGCCCGCCAGGCCTCGGGCAGCTGTTTCACGTTAACTGGAGCGTTTTGGTGCTTGGCTGCCAAAGGGGATGGGGAACAGTTTCAAAGTTCTCCCAGATGCCCGGCCCCTGGCTAAGGGCCTCAGCCGTGGGGGGAGGGGAAGCCCGGGGCCGAGAAGGGCTCAGGCGGCAAGACCCTGCGGGCTCCCTGGCCTCTTCCCCATAAAGAATGTGCACTGGGAAGGAAAAGTCTAAAATGCGGTGCTATTTAGGCCAAGCTGCTTTCAAAGGCCTTGTTGCCACTTCATTCCACTTATTTTTCTAAACAAGCACTTTTGATGGGCTGGAATGTCAGACTTGTTGGGATAAGCCACATTCATTTTTAAAAATTGGTTTGTTTGGGAGCCTGACTGCTAGGATCTGATGTTTTGTATTTGAGACTCAGTGGAGCATGGAAAGCTGGGGGGAATCATTCAGAAATTTCCTCTTGCCACAGATCAATGGAGGGTATATAGGTCATTGTCTTTCTGCAGCGGCTGGAATTAACAGCAAACAAAACTCTCTGCTATTGCTCGATCGCTCTTAGGAAAGTTTTCTTGTAAATTAAGGGGACTAGAAGTAAAAATTGCAAGTAAGGACAAGCCAGGATTCCTGTCACGGGCTGGAGAGCGGAACTGAAGTTGACTGGCTCCAAGTCTGTGTTACACTCCAGATAAAATTCTTTTGCAGCCAGTTGTGAAAGTGAGCCCAGGATGCGAGGGTGTTTAGAATGTCTTCATAGTGGCATTGCCCTGGGCCGTTTGAACATAAGGTATTTGGGGGGACGCCTAGGCGACTGGGTGGCTCAGTCACTTAAGCATCTGACTTCGGCTCAGGTCATGATCTCGCGGCCTGTGAGTTCGAGCCCTGCGTCGGGCTCTGTGCTGACAGCTCGGAGCCTGGAGCCTGCTTCGGATTCTGTGTCTCCCTGGCTCTCTGCCCCTCCCCCGCTTTCTCTCTCTCCCTCTCTCTCTCTCTCAAAAATAAATAAACTTAAAAAAAATAAGGTACTTTTTAAAGCAGCTCAATTAGTACGTGCCACCTTCTAGATTATTTTAGAGAAGGGATGCATGCATGGACATATTTGCCACTCCTCACTCTGTCTGAATCGACTGCTGAGTATGTTAAAGGGGGAAAAAAAAGCCACAACACAAATGATGGAGGAGGCCAAAGCCCCCGCCACCCAGTGATGGGAATAGATGGGGATTTCAAGCCCTGCAGAGGTTCAGGAGTCCAGATAAAAGGCCCAGGCCTGGGAGGGACCAGAGAAGGAAGGACAGACAGGCACAGCTCTTGGCCACAGGTCTGGCCCAGCAGAGGAAACTGGGTCTTAAAATCTGCCTGGAGGTCTGAGAAAGCCTTCCAGGCTGGATGTGTGCAAGGAAGAAACCCTAGAGAGCATTTGAACTGGGAGGGAACCATCCCTAGATACTCCCCCCCACTTTAGCTCATGGTGACAAGAGCAAAGGAGAGATGACTTTGGCCAAGTCCTCTTGAAAGCACAAGTTGGGTCTCTGCACCTTCCTTGGCCTGAGTTAGGGGAGCCCATGGGACCCCTAGAGGTCGAGCCACAGCCAGCCTCCCCTTCCATCGGAGGACCATAGCTACTCTCCAGTTGTCGTTACCTGATTTAATTGTGTTTATTTTTTTGTTGTCCGCATTCTGAGGAATGTGCAGACCCGTAGCCATCCAGGGCAGTTCCAGTTTCGTGCTGCTGGCAAGGCCAAGGAGGAAGGGAGGAAAAAGAGGCAGGGCCAGGGCCCAGAGGCCTGCCCAGGAGAAACCCTGCAGGCAGGAGGTGGGTGAGGGGCTGGGCAGCAGGAAGCCACTGCCCCTCCAGGGCCCACGCCTGCTTCAGTGGGTTCTCCAACCTCTCCTGACAGTTTTTGCTAAACCTGGAAAGCATATGAGTGTGTCTGTGTCTAAGGGTGTGTCTGTGTGTGTGGAGAGAGGTTTGTCAGGGCGTGTATCTGTGTCCTTGTATGTCTAGCTGGGAGTGCACCTGTTCGAGGGTATCATTCTGTATGCAGGTGTTCAAAGTTCTGTGTCTGTATGCTAT